ACGTGGTACCCTCCCCTGACCCCCATCGTTCATCTTCCTTGTCACGTGGTATCCTCACATCTTACTTTCTTCCTTGGGCAATCTTGTAGGATCCATGGTACTCAGATTGTGATGAGAAGTACTCCATGATAAAGGGAATATGGGTTGCAAACATTCCCTGTTATGAATCAAAAGAATGCTCCTTAAAGTATCATACTGGATGGGTATCACATAAGTGTGAGAAGGAACTTGTTGCGGCAACAAGCTAGGGATGACTTGCTCCGTGCCAAGGTAACTCTTAAATTTAAACCCGCAATCCCGTGATGAAATGAGCGCTTAGTTTTTCTCGATAGCAAATCCCCAGGACAAGCACAATGACAAATTAATCTTGGAACGATAAAATCATTAACTTTTTCTCGCGTACGTAGGTAAAAGTCGTTATACTAACCAATCCAATACATATGAATATCATAATAAATATTCGACCAAAATACGTAATTGGTGACATGTCTCCATACCCAACAGTTGACATGGTAACCTGTAATCACAAGAGACCAGAGTAGTACCAATTAATACACCAGTTTCGTATTCGATGTATACCGTAGTTTTTGAAGACGAGACTCATCTGCACAGACTTAACATATACTAGTAAAAGTCTGTGGGATTTCAAAAAACGTGTGTTGTTCAAGTTGCACATTCTTTACATTTTACAGTTGACTTTTGCAAATGATTTACTCTTAAGCGAGTTTAAGCCTGCAGAGATGAGTCTTTAGTCATTAAAGACAGCGGTATTTACCGAACACGAAAAGGAACTATTACACTAAGAGGCGTAGACAAACAACAGATTGGTGAAAGAAGGAAGATCTAATATCAAGTTTAGTGTGTACGAACACATACCACAAGGAAGTACAGACAGTCAAAGTAATTCCAGTCTTGACGTAACGCAACATTCCATGGATCGCCGGTGTTCTCGATCTAAAAATGAACAAATAAAAAACCGGTTTATTACTCTGTGCGAGTGATTCCTGTCTCAAAATCAAGATCATTTTGTTAAAGTTGTAACAGACAAAATTAACGTTCCTACCAAATGTACCAATCCTCCAAAACAGAACAGAACAGCGCTAAGATTCCCAACAGCTTTAGTCAAGGTGACAGCACCGCTAAACAGAGAGAGGATAACAAAGTTGGAGTTAACTACTCCGTGTATCCCGGGGGATGGGGGGGGGGGGGGGTACTCCACCAGAATTTGGGTAGGGGTGTTCCGTTGGGATTCTGAAAGGGGTACCCTGTTTATGACAAAAAAACGCAAATTTGTAGACCCTGTTTATGACAAAAGATATAATTTATTGCACTGAGTTCCTGTTTCAATTATCATGTCATCTCGCGTATCGATGCTTTACGACCATAATAACCAGTTTCGGTCAATACGAAAGTAGA